TAACGAGGTTAATCGCAAATCTGCTCCTCAATCATCAAATGGAATTTGAAAATAAAGAAAAAAAAAAGTTTGCAGTTTCAGTTTAGGAGCCTAAATTCTTAAAATTCCAATTGAACCAACGACTGATCCAAGTTGTGTACAGAAGTTGTTGCAAGAATGAACCTGAGGCTGAGAATTATAAGAACAAATAACTGAGTTGCCACCCAAGAGGGGAGTATTAAACTTGTCGACCTAGACTGAGATCCTTGGTTGCCCACTCTTCCATCAATGTTTGATCACTTGGATATTCAGTCTGCTGAAAAAGGTTTTCTTAAGATTGTTCCATACCATGCCCCTCACAAGCACATTTGCTCCTATCCTTTCCATGCTTGATAACGGCCCTCTTGAGACCATTCTATATCTTTATTTTTTTTTTCAATGATAAAAAAAAAATTTCCATTCAAAGAAGATTGAGAATGTACATAATCGGTGAACAAGAAATCCGACACAAATACAAAGAAATCAAAAGAAAATCACAGCAAAAAGTCCATCAACTACAAATATCTTGCCAATTATGTTGAAGCACCAAAAAGGGAATACCACAGAACTCTTTGGACCCCACAGCCCATAGAGATGCCAAAAACTTAACTCTATTCGATAACAACACCTCATCATCTTTTCCTTCCAAAATTCAGCAATTTCTTTCCATCCACATCACTCTAGCTACAATAGCAGATCTCCAAACTGAAAGGCTTGTTTGCCCATCCCAAAGCTATCAAACTACTCCACAAGTAAAGAAGCACAATTAGGAGGAGTAACCCAGGCAAGTTCCACCTCCCAAAATATTTAATGGCGCAAGAAGAGTGCAATAGGAAAGTAAAGAAATAAATGATCAATGTTTTCACAACACATCTCACATATCACAAACCATTGACGGAAAAAAAAAATACTAGGTCTTCTCTTTTTGCAACAAGTCACGAGTATTCATATTATCATGAACAATCATCCAAACAATAAATGATCAATGTTTTACAACATATCTCACATATCACAAACCATTGACAGGAAAAAAAAGTACTAGGTCTTCTCTTTTTGCAACAAGTCACGAGTATTCATATTACCATGAACAATCATCCAAACAAGTACCAACACCTTAGTAGACACTTTAACCTTTCAAATTATCACGAGATTAAAAAACTGGAGAATTAAGAGCAACAATCAAACATTGGAAGAAAGAACTACAAGAAACGTACAAGCAGCAATCATGGATCACATTCCTTTATCATAGGCCAACTAAACCAGTATTATTTAAGGCATAAAGCGAATCAAAGCGAACCGGTATCGTGAGAGCTTAGGCGAGAAGCGAAACGAGCACTTTATCGAAACAAAGCGAACAATATAAAAAATAAGCAAATATTTTAATTTGATACTTTGATTACTCCTAAATCTTCAAGTTTTAACTTTACAAATATAAAATATTTAAATGCAATCAAAATAATAAACATAAACATATTTTAAATAGACTATATATTAAATATTGAACATTATTGCATTCTAAAAATAATCAATTGATATAATCACGTCATCTAAATGTAAAGCTAGCAAATGTGAGTTCGACTTCCACCGTGATTGATTAATATCACTACAAAATAAAGCACTCAAAAATTGATTAATCAAATAGAATATATAAAAAATTGATTAATCAATTTGATTGACCAAATAAATTGATTAATAAGAGTATTCACATCATAACAGAACATTCAATATCATCTAATCATAATAAGACAGATTGTCGTATGATACTGTTAGATGAATCAATCAAATTATTATTATTATATATATATATATATATATATATATATATATATAACATCATCTATACTAGAGTTTGGTTAATGTTAAGGAAGAAGAAGGATTTTTTTTTTTTTTTTGGAAGGGGAGAGGAGGAGGAGCAAATAAAAAAATTGTCAACCGTTCGTTTTTCTTGCCTGGCTCGTTTCTTCGCTTCGTCGTCTAGACTTGCTTTTTCCTCGCTTCGCCTGGGATGTTCAAGACAATCAATGCCCGCTTCGCTTCTCACCTAGACGCTCGCCTAGGCTCGCTTTTCACAACACTGAACTAAACTAAGAAACCGACTCATGCAAAAAATAAAGGATGAAAGCTCCAAAATTTCTAAGAAGAGCAAATCATGGTAGAGACAAAATTATCGTGGGCACAAGACAATCTGAAAAGCCAACGGAACAATAAGCAAAAGCAAACTCACCCACTAGGTATCTTTCCAACAACACACACTCTCCACATTTCCCGCACATAAGAGATGCTTCTTCATGAATTTTGGAAAGAGCCTTTATCCACCAAAATGGAGTATCATCCATATCATTGATCCATACTTTTGATAATAGAATGCCACAAAGAATTCGGCCCTACCGTCTCACCCCACAACGCACCCCATCCAAGTGGGACCGCATAACATAATAGAACTATGATGCGACAAAAATTTTGCGCAAATCTCCACAACAGCCCAACAAAGCACGTTTTCCTCAACTAAATTTTCCATTGTCAACCCCTTTTTATGCAGATTTGGGCACAATTGTCCACCTCACCAAGTGATTTTTCTTCCATTTACCACTCCCTCATCATAAAAATTTATTTATCATCTCCGTCATAATCTTTGTAACCTTCTCTGGATTTTTTAACAAGCGACATAAGATAAGGAACAATACTACCAAAACAAATTGAACAAAAGAAAGCCTCTTGCTTGGACGAACAACCTTCTTTTCCACCATTCCACTCTTTTTTGCACTTTCTTGAAATCAAAGTTCCAAAATTCAAGATAAAGGCTTGCCCCCAACAAAAGTTCCACATATTTTCATGGCCAATCATTCACCAAACACCTACCAACCCCTTGGCTAGTCCTTCAATCTTACTCCTAGGAGATTTAATTCCGGCAACTAAACTTAGACATATTCACTTTCAATGCGAACCAAACCAAAAATCCCAACAATATCCACTAAATTTTAAATTTTTTGCGTAACCCCACACAAAAAACAAAAAATACAACCCCCAAACAGTAAATAAGTAATAATGATCTTGTAATTCCATAGTAAAACTCAAAAGTCTACCACTTAGTTATACTTCTTCCCCTTATCTACCAAATGACATAACCCATCAACCACCAAAGGGTAAAAGCGGATACACCTACCTCAAACCCCTAGATACGTTAAATCTTCCTTGTGGTTTACCATCCATGACAGCTCAAAAATTTATATTTTTCACCGAATTCTTATCCTTTTGAGTGTTATATGCTCGGAGCCACTAGAAAACTTCATGAAAACTCAAGGAAGTTGGGGAAGAGTTTTTCTTGGATGTAGGAATAGTTGGGGAAGAATTGACGGAGGGAGCAATAGATTTGGATATCTTGGACTAAACATTAATTATAGGAATTAAAATTTAGACCCTTTTTTTACTGTTTCCTGGGATCTAAGCATTATATCAATTTATTTTTATGTCATTGTTAAGTTGGTAGGATAGGTCTAATTTAATGGATGATTAACTTTTGGCCATAATATATAGAATTAGATTTTGAATCTCTCTTCCTTTCCCTTTTTCTCTTTCTTTCTTCTTACTCTTCTCTAGTTTTTTCTTTCCACCTCTTTATCTTATTCTTTCTCTTAATCTTTATTCTTTGGTCCTAAATTACCAGCTCTTCTTTTTCTTAATCTCTATTCTCTGGCCCTACATAATCAGCTTTTCTTTATGTCTCATGCCCCAGTTCTTTAGTGTATGATGACATGCAAATGGACTGAAATAGGGCATTATACAGGTGGAAAGTTATTGCACAGTAACAAGCATCCAGCCTTAGAGTTACTGACTTAACAGCAGTATGATGCAGATAACAAGTTAGCCATCAGGTATTAATGGAGTAATACTCTGCACGGCTCAAAGCAAAATCTTTCTTTTTAAAGTAGCTCAGAACTAAACAATACTTGTTTCTTATTTTCTTCTTCATTATCTAAAGATCGAATTTTGTTTTGGGAAAGGGAAATTTACCCCAAAAAAGGGAGAAACTAGTGCAAGAATAGTCCACACAACATATATATTATGCAGCACTACCGCAAAATAGCCAGTACACATCTACTGGTAACATAATCCAGATCACATGCAGTAGACAGCCCTCCCTCAGAGGGGAGTTAATTAAGAATAAGAACAACGGAAACTCAACAATAAAATGTCTGACCATCTGGAGCTTGGGATTGAGAACCAAAGAAGTTCCGTACCTGAAACGCATTTGAAGCAACCATCCTCATCTGGGGGAAAACAGCACATATTTGAGTGCAAACGGCAGTTCCCCGAATTCTGTCTGAAACCAAATTTTCTATTTCCTGCATTATAAGCAACTCCTCAAGTTAAGAGCAACAATGAATGAGACTATAAATGACAACTTGCGAATGCTTTACATGTCACAAGACCTTTGATATCATTGCTAGCATTTTCTGGTTGCTTTGTGTCAAGCACCTGCTTTAGCTTGTAACCCAGGCGAATTGATAAGGTACTTAACAAGGCACCTCCTGCAATAAGGACCCAGTTGGGACCCTCACCCTGAAACCCTTTGGACCGTTGATCTCTAGGCACCCCGTTGGTTCTTGGCTTCATTTTAATAGCTGACAGGAAAATTCTGGATCATCCAAATATGACCTGCACTGAAATGCACCATAATTCCATTGCTATCTACACGTCGAACATCAAACTGCATCAGCAAAAAAACAATGCTTAGGCTTTAAAGTCTAGTGAATATATACGTATATAAACACACACACACGTCCCTAATCATTATGGAGTACTTTCTAGTGTCCAACCCAGAATAATTTCAATTGGCGAAAACAGAATAGAAACAGTGGGTTTTTCCGAATAAAATAAGCCAAAGAGCCAAGTTCCGATAAGCGGGCCAGAGCGAAATTAGACGCCATTTTGCACAGGACAGGCAAAATTCCATGGCATTGCAACTTCAACACACAATCGGCAATTAATATCAATCAACATAAAAAAAAAAAAAGGATTGTGGGTGTGTAAATGTAATCTGGGTGGCAGTGTGTCTATGGAGTACATATCGAGGACAAGAGGCACTGTTCAACTAAACACGAACACAGAGAGCGGGAGAAGAAAGGGAGAGAGAGTAAGAGAGTTACTGACCTATTCTGCTCGTCCCAAAACGATCGCCGGCGGCTCTGAATCGTCGTCTTCGTCGGCTGGACAGAGCGAGATACAGAGTGAATTGGGAAATATTTTAGGGTGGTGAGTGAGAGCCCAATTTGTAATGGACCCGAAAAATTCCGCTTTTAACCGAGTTCGGTTTCTCCCGACTCGAATATAACCCTATGTCAATCTGGGCTTAGGGCTCGGGTTGGATCGTTCGCATCCCCGTGGACTCAAGCCCCCCAAGCTCCTTTGGTTTAGGCCCAGGTTGGATCGTTGAACAACCAAACTTCCTTCTGGCAGATCCAAGTCTTGGTTTTTCGACGTGGTACCAGCAGGTCTTTAGTTCAATATTAGTCTTTGTCACGTGAAGAATTTGTTTTCTTAAAATCAAGGGTTTAAGTCTCAATGTCTCTTTTCCCTCCTGCTTAGGGATGTCAGTGGACCGAAGTGGGGGCAGGGAGTATAATCTTCATCCCCGTACCCGCTTAAAAAAATTTCGTCCATCCTCGGTCCACTCCCGTTAACGGGTATAATTTTCATCTCTATCTCCGTCCGCGGGTAAATTTTTAATCCCCGTCCCCGTCCCCACTTCCCCATACCCGCCCAAGCCTAAGTTCAAGCCTAAGTAACATAATCCAAAATTTAAATAAATTCAATATTTTAAATAATCCAACAACATTATAAATAATCTAACACAACATAATGTAGATTACAAAATGTAAAAGACAAAAAAATATAGTATTCTATTTAAAGTGTCATTGGACCACAAAAAGAAAAACGAAATTATTAGAGAGAAAGGAATAAAAGGAACATAAAATTAAACTAAAAAAACGATAGCACTACCGTGACGACCCGTATATAAATTAATTATCGATAAGCTAATTAGGTCGTCAATTATGATTTTATATTAATAAATAAAAAGCAAATTTTTTTTTATGAACAAATGGACCTCAAATATAGACTTTTCACGTGAAAACGAGTCAAATGACTATAATTTAGGTCAAAAATTGTAACAAATATACTTATATTTATATTTATATCTATATATGTGTGTGTGCGTGTGTGTGTGTATGTGTGTGCAGGTGAAAGAACAAAGCATATACATATATATGTAGGGGCCATCTTTAGGAAGTTTACAAGCTTAAGACACATGCAACAAAAAAAAAAAGGAAAACATGGTGAAGAAATGGACGTCTGTCCATGACTTCCTTGGAGGCCAAGAAAATCTTGGCTATAAATAGCCAAGATTAGTAGCATTGAACGGCCTAAGGAAAAAATAGAGAAAGGGAGGAAGAAAGGGAGGGAGAAAGAGAGGAAAGAGAGAAAAAGGGGTCAAAAAATTTTGTTGACCTAAGAATTTGCGGTTGAGATCAAAACTTTGGGTAAGAGTTTTTAGTTATTAATTAGTAACTTTTATATGTTCGAGTCACTTAAAGTTGATCTGCATTAAATATTTTCAGATCCAATTTAAGTATTATTATCTTTTGTTTGTTACTCCAAAAAAATTATTAAGCCCTTAGTACCTATTGTTATTCTAAAATATTATTTTGATTATTTTGTCACAGTACATGGTATCGAATAGAATTCAAGAAGGAGGTAGGGTTTCTTTTATCTTTTACTATCATTGATCCATTCTATGCATATTTGGAGGTTTCATATCAAATCTATTTTTTATTATAAAATGTAATATTATATCATGGGGTTATCATGCACATATTGTATTTTTTTTATCGAGACCCTAATTATCTCATGAAACCATGTTGCATAATAAATGTCTATTTCATTATTAATATTTAATGTTTGATTTTTTGTGGGGTCTGACTACGATATGATTTTATTTTGTGATTACTATAAATGCACATAATCGAGGGCAGAGGGATAGTAGATGCGTGATCCTTGCGAGGATTCACAAGATTCCTACTAGTCCTTGGGTTCACCGGTTAGTAATATCGGTTGCCGTGGTAGCTTGTGTGACACCACATAATTTTGGGTATTGGTGTTTCCAGAAAAGTAAAAAAGGCATTGGGTTCCCTAGGGTGAAAGACCGCAAAATTTTCTCCGGACGCAGTTCATGTGTGAACCAGAAAATTGACGGATTGATATGATCGATATGTGCTGAAATTTATTTATTTATTTGATTCATTACTTCGCCCTATTCCTACATTTATTCGCGGTTTAATTATATTATTCATTGTCTTAAAACCTTGGTAGTCATTGATAAACGTTATCCTACTGAGCTGGTGAGTTAATCCCTATTTAACAATTTTTAAATATATGAAGTCAAGCTGGAAGATATGCTGAAAGGATAGAGTCTGCTATTATTATTTATTTTTATGTTGTATCAAGAATATTTGAAATGATCTTGTGAGGATTATGTACTCGTACGAAAAATAAAATAATATAAGGAAGATTATTGTACGTTCGATAAACTTTATTCCTTAATCACACCCGGGTACTTTTTTTAAAAGGAAAAAAAAAAAATTGGGTGTGACAAAGTGGTATTAGAGCCAGGAATTAGGTCTTACATGAAACTTATATATATACTAAATAGTGGGATTAATTTACTAATATTGAACATATTTTACAGACATATTATGTTTTATCAACAGAACTAACTTTTTATGACTATAGGTATGACATCTTGGGATAATCTTTACATGGCTCACAGTAACATGGGCTCTGAGGCGACTAGTGAATACTGGACTCTTAGAGTTAATATAGAGGCCTACAATTGGATAGTCTGTGAAGTTCAAGATGTATCCCAAAATTGATCATTCTTGCTGGCCTCTGAACAAAAAAAGTTAGTACATCACAGACTGATTTCGCACCTAAGGGTGCTCCATCAAGTACTAAGCATTGAAAGGAGCCCAACCTGTACCAGGAAATTTTAAATGGATTGCCAATACAAGACATCCAGTGGCCACCTATGGGGGCTCATGAGGGGCAGCCAATAGAATCCCCTAACCTGAACAATAACGAAGATGATAACCCACAACCTAATGTAACCCCTGCAGTCGCACCACCCAAAGCAAACCATCGCGCAGATTCTGTGGGTTCTGCGAATTAATGTGTCTCCAGGGGGAAAGATATGAGACTTCTTGGTCCTTAACTCTACAGTCGGCTTTACTATTCTAAGAACTTTTGCCTATAAATAGTAGTAACTTTTAGAATAGTAGGAATATATGTATCACTAGATAACTTAGAGGTGACTGTCCTAGACTTTTGTTCTTCATGTAAATAACATCTAGGATAAGAAACGACATGTATCTTAGTTACTAACTATGTGAGATTAGAGTTGTTTTCTTAACCTTTGAATATGGTTATAGTTTTATGCAGTCATAATATCATAAACTATGTGTTATAGGATGAAGGAAAATACATCTCAAGACCAATCAGAGATACCTATCAATAACCAGTCCCCTCAAGCACCACATGACACCATGAGTGGCATTTACCAGTGTTTGAGAGAACTAACCACTTTGGCACGCCAACAAGCAAAAAATAACAATCATACTACGGTAATACAACTAACAGTTCAAGAACAAGCAAATGTGGCTGAAACGCGAAGAATGATGATAGTCAAGAAATTTCTACGACAACGTGCCCCTACCTTCCAGGGAAGTGCAGAGCCACTTGATACAGAGAGATGGCTTCGACAAGTGAGAAAAGTAATGGATGGTATGGATACTACCCCAGAACTACGAGTTACCTTGGCCTCTTATCTTTTTGAAGGTGAAGCCGATCACTGGTGGGACACAGTCAAAAGAATNACTACGGTAATACAACTAACAGTTCAAGAACAAGCAAATGTGGCTGAAACGCGAAGAATGATGATAGTCAAGAAATTTCTACGACAACGTCCCCCTACCTTCCAGGGAAGTGCAGAGCCACTTGATACAGAGAGATGGCTTCGACAAGTGAGAAAAGTAATGGATGGTATGGACACTACCCTAGAACTACGAGTTACCTTGGCCTCTTATCTTTTGAAGGTGAAGCCGATCACTGGTGGGACACAGTCAAAAGAATGAGGAACGTAGATCAAATGACGTGGACCACATTTGAGAAAGTGTTCAATGATAAATATTTTTCAGAGTCCGTAAGGGATAAAATGTTCTCTAACTTCCTAGAGTTGCAACAACGCAACCTGACAGTCACGTAGTATGAATCCAAATTTTCTTAACTCTCTCGTTTTACCACAGAATTAGTTTTCACTGATACTAAGAAGGTCGAACGATTTGAACAAGGCCTTAAGCCTTCTATCCGAGGGCGCCTTGTAGCATATCAACTGAGGAACTACAANTGCTTAACTCTCTCGTTTTACCACGGAATTAGTTTTCACTGATACTAAGAAGGCCAAACGATTTGAACAAGGCCTTAAGCCTTCTATCCGAGGGCGCCTTGTAGCATATCAACTGAGGAACTACAAGAAACTGATGGAAAGGGGCTATGCTGGTAGAAAGAGATGTGGAGGATACCCAGAATATCAGAAATCGTCAACAAGGCAGAGGAAGTCAGACAATAAATGGTGGCAGCAGTAGTCACCAAAGAATGACCCTATATCGACGGCCAGGGCAAGATACCAATTAAAGGAGGAGNCAATGCTGGTAGAAAGAGATGTGGAGGATACCCAGAATATCAGAAATCGTCAACAAGGCAGAGGAAGTCAGACAAGAAATGGTGGCAGCAGTAGTCACCAAAGAATGACCCTATATCGACGGCCAGGGCAAGATACCAATTAAAGGAGGAGTGTGAATCAGAGACAAAATTCTGAAAATTGGAACAGAGCATCCAATGATACGAAACGGTGTTTTAAGTGTGGGCAAACTAGACATTTTAAAAATCAGTGTCCCTTCACGTCCTCTCAAGGGTCNAGACAAGAAATGGTGGCAACAGTATTCACCAAAGAATGACCTTATATCGACGACTAGGGCAAGATACCAATTAAAGGAGGAGTGTGAATCAGAGACAAAATTCTGAAAATTGGAACAGAGCATCCAATGATACGAAACGGTGTTTTAAGTGTGGGCAAACTAGACATTTTAAAANAAGGTCAGCCAATCAAAGTTCTTATCAGCCATTCAACCAATCTCGTCCACAAC